GGCCGCGTCGCGGCTCGGGAGGGCCAGGTCCGATCATCAGCCCGTATGTGAGGGTTTCGGGGCGCCGCCCGGCCGCGCAGTCCGGGGAGGTGCGCCCGGACCGCGCCCGGGCTCCGGGGCTGGGCTGTGCCGCGTCCCTAGCTGCAGCGCGGGCCCACCGGCGGGGTCGGGCGGCAGGGACGGCCGCGTCCGGCCCGGCCGCTCCTGCCCCGGGCTGGGCAGCCGCGGGCACCACGGGGCGCTTGCTCCCGCCTCCGGGGGTCTCACGGCCGCCTCCCCTGATGGCGGGCGCCAGCTCCTCCCGCCTCTCTTCTCCGCTCTGCTCTCTTGGCCTCTCTGGCCCCAGCCTCTCCGCCCTGTCTTCCCCCCTCCGGCCTCTCTGCCCGGTCTGTCTGCCCTGCCCTGGCATGGAGCGCTCGCGTGGCCCTCAAGCGCAGGCCTGCGCCCCCTCCTGCCCCTGGCTCTCTGCTCTCCCGAGGACCTGGGCGCTGACTCGGCCCTGAGCTTGTGTTCACATACGAAATCCTCCTGCTACCCCTGACGTGGGCACCAGGATGGTCCCCATTTCTTAGACCAGGAGGAAGATGCCCAGGGAGGATAGGTGACGTGCCCGAGGATGCCACGCGGCCAGTGCGCCACGGGCCAGGATGGAGCCCAGGCAGCCTGACTCTGAGGCGGCGCCTGGAGCCCCCCCAAGCCTTGTGTAGCAGTCCGGGCGACAGCTGGTGGGCCACGGGGCTCTGCCGCCTTCACAGCGTGATGGCTCGCCTGTCCCGTGTCACCTTCGCCGCAGCCCTGGGGGTGGCCAGAGCGGGCCCGGGGGTCGGAGAGCTAAAGTGACCGTCAGAAGAGCCTCGTAAACCGTCACGAAGAGCCTCGTCTTGGCCCTCTTCCTAGACCCCCGCCGCCTGCGAGCACGAGCTCCTGCTGCGGACGTGACCCTGGACCCTAATCCTTCCAATGCCTGCTGGCCGGCGACCTCACAGCCTCCGGTGAGGCCCAAGGACACAGCTGTGGGGGGGGAGCACATGCCACCAGGCCTGTTCCCACGCCTCCCGCCCCGGGCACGCTGGCTTCCCTCCGGCTTCCTGGAAATCCGTGCCAGCTGCCTCCTGCTGGGACCTCCGTGGAAAGTATTATTAGTGTTAGTGACGCCGTGTTTGGCTACAATCTGCCTTTAAAGCCTCAAAGGGAAATTCACACGCCCGGGGGGCTAATTGCCTCTAATTTCTGTTTGCTCGGCACAGGGGGCCTGACCTCCCGCCACAGAGGTCCTGGCCCCAGGCAGGGCTGGCCTCGCCCTGGACGGCAGCCATGGCCCACAAATGCTCTGTCAATAGCCGTGAGGAGCCCAGGCATGGGAAGGGGCAGTGAGGGGCCTGCCCCGGGGCCATCGGCCAGATGGACTGGTGCCTCTGGCGGGTGGCAGCTGCTCTCCAGCCATGCCCCGAGAGCCGAGGGAAAGTGGCAGGAATGTAGGGAGGTGGCGATCCGCTCCTGCAGGGCCCGTGAGGACATGGTGGACGTGGGATGCCGGACAGGCCTGGAGATCCGTGCGCCCGGCCCTCCCTGCTTACAGAGGGCGGAACGGAGACCCCGGTGTGAGTGGGCAGGAGCGTGAGCCAGGGGGAGGGTGGCCCAGCAGCGCCGAGCACGGGTGTCTGGATGCCCAGGGCCAGGCCCTTCCTGGGTGGCCCTCTCCGAACAGTGGGTGTGGCCACTTGGCCACCTAGGGCACAGCCACTCCTCTCTCTCCCACCGGGCTGTGGAACAGCGGGCAGGAGGGCGCGGGGCGCCCGTCCCCAGCAGGCAGCGACTTCCCCTCCTCCCACAGGTGGGGTCTCCCGGCAGAGCAAGGGGCCAGGGCCTGAGGAACCCTAGGGGTCTGGGGGGCGCCTCCCTACGGAGCAGGGGCTGCATCTGCCACTCGGCTTCGGAGAGGACCCAGCTCAGGGCCGGTCCAGGGGGACCTGAGCCCTCTGCCCAGGGACCTAGTCCCAGGGCTCGGGCCCCACCTTGTTCCCGGGAGTCACAAGTAACCAAACCCCTAGGCCTGGGCCGCACCCAAGACTCCGATTTTCTCTGGCCACGCTGCCTGTCCC